TTCAATTAGCTGTCGAAACATTAGGCATCTTAGCAAACTTCTGGAAAACCTCTCCTGAACGCCCTCCTTCCTGTCCTGCACCCACCAAAACAATTGCTTCTCTTTTTGCATCGCCATGGTGGTACTCGTGGAGTGCTTTGTCACAGCTGGAGCAGCTGCAGCTGGCTGTGCCTGGAGAGCAGTGCTTGAGCTTGAGCAGGGCTTGTGCTCTGTGCCAGCTCCATCCTCTATTCAGAAAGCCTACTGTCAAAGTCACTGGATTCTGTGGAGTCAAAGCTGGTCTTGAAGACAACGCCTCTGTAGGTAGGATCAGAAGGAGCAGCCCTTCCCTGACAAATGCAGCTGTAGTCAGTCCTCCACTGTACATGGGACTGCTACATTTCCAGGTGGGGGTTCCAGGTGATTTCCTCATCATCCACAGAAAGTTTTATAATCCTCTTGGACGAGCTCAGGTGCAATGTTCCCTCTAAGCTGAGTTAGTGTGAGCTAGCTCACAGCTTTTAGTTGTCTTAGCTCAGGAGGGATGGCTTCAGAGCAAACTAATCTGTGCAGCAGCCAAATCACTCGCTCACAACTTTAATGCCAGCAGCTCACAAAGTAGAATTTTTGCTCACAAGACCCCACAGCTTAGAGGGAGCACTGCTCAGGTGTCTTATTTGCATCTGGGTGCCTGTGATCTGTTAAGGTTTGGGAAACTCTATGCTGAATAAGAACAATTATTTATTAAGTGTGTTTTATCCTGCCTTTTCTCCAAGGAGCTCAGGGCAGCACACGTTGGTCTCCCTTCCTCCATTTTACCTTTACAGCAACCCTCTGAGAAAAGTTATGCTACGAGTGACTGACCTGCAACGTCCACTCAATTTTGCTGTTCAGAGCCAGCTTCCTCTGCTCTGCTGATTTGAAAGGAGAACCTGTATGCTCTTTAAGAACCTGTATTTTCCACTTTAAAAATTCTACTGGCTTAGTGGGGAGGGGGGAGCAACTCTATTTTGAATTTTGTGGACTGAAGGAGATGAGTGATCTTTGCTTTTGCTACCTTTTAATAATGGTGTTGAAAGGGGGTTTTAGTGGGTGCGACTTCTCCCACTCCTGCGCAGCTCTATTTTATTCATATCCCTTCTTTCTTTCATCGTGGTACTCAAAGTATTTATGGGTTTCCACAGGAAGTCTCCTATTCAGACACGGACCTTGTCAGCTTCATATTCCTTGTGGCCCCACCAAGCCTCACTCCTCCTCGTCTACACCACTGTCAAAAGGCCAGGGGGCTTTGTATTCATTTGTTAGTCGCCCTCTTGCCAGTGCAACTCTGAAACTTGGGTAAAGTCACTTTTTGTGGAATGGCTATTTTCATCTGACTTGGGGGTATGTATGTATTTTTAGAAAGGGTGGGGGTGGGGATTTCCAGACAGAAAAATGAAGCGATGACAACATGCCCACAGATTGGAACTTGACTTGTTCTCCATCTTCCTGACAGACTCAGTGATGCTTATGGAGTTGATACAGTTGGAGCACTTGTTGGTTGCCCCTGCATTGTATGTGAGGTGTAAAAATGTGAGGCAGTTTTATTTTCCAGTGTTTGATTATTATCTGTTCATTTACTGTAAAATACCTTTCTCCCACTCTGTCAGCTTCAAAACTGCCAAGACCACTTTCAATAATTAAAAATATAACAGAACCAAATATAATATAGGAATGGTACATACCTTATAATAGGAGCTGCATTCTGAATTGCATTGACAATAAAATGGTCTTGGGTTTAAAGAGAGACAAAACCAAAGAGCACAGGGAGCCACAGCAGAAAATGTTATTCCAAATTGTAGCATAAAACTGTAAAACAAGAGAGAGTCAGAGGACTGGAACGGGGTGGGTGGCGTGGGGGAATCAAAACTAGCAATGTGCAGATAGCCAGGAAAATGAAATGGGCTTTGCCCATTTGCATGAAGCTCAAGAAAGTTGGCCCTGGATGAACAGCCATAGGGAGAGCCAACATAGTCTAGCTGTTACTGGTTCAGCTCAGGCAGATCAGGTTTCAATTTTCCACCCAGGCTTGACTGACCTTGGTCCAGTCATCTTCTCCCAGTCTAATCTATCTCACAAGGTTGTTGTAAAAACAAAATGGCAGAGGGAAAAACAAGTAAGCTGCCCTGAGTGATAGGATGAAAATGGTTAGACAGGAAGCAAGGTGCCACAACAGAGCAGGCCCTGTCTCTAGTGATCGCCCATCTTACCACTGATGCACGTGGAACAATCCATCAGGAAATGATCCTAACTGCTGGGCAAATTCTTATGACAGCAGCCAGTCCTGTACAGAGGACAGATGCTTCAGAGTAGGAGGCTCTTTGCAGTATAGTATTCTCTTGCGTAATTCTAAAAAACCCTGCCTTCGCACTGTAAGGAGCCAAAAATCTCCTATTAGTTTTCATGCACCTCTTTGATGGTACAGTTTTAATTCTCTCTCCAGTGGGTCATGGCAACAGCTGCATTATTCTTGGTTAAAAGCAATGCTATTAATTGCACCACTTTGGAGTGTAATGAATCAGTTTCCTTAATACTTATTTAATCATAGTAAGATAAGAGAGGAAAAGTAAGAAGCCATTCCTTGAATACAAATATAGATTTAGTTCTGCTTCTGTGTCCTTCCCTTCTGCAAGATTTATTGATCCTAGGATTAGGAGAGGTACAATAGACGGATGTTTGTTTTGCATTCCCAAGAAGAGGAATTTGCTCCTTTTTTGGTATCTGTCCCATTCTGTGTCCTGTGTTTGATGGCAGTGGCGGGCCAGTGGGGAATAGCGGGCAGGGCTGGAATTCGACAGAGAAGTCCTGGGCAGCCTGGTTATCTCTCAGCCTAATTTAATGATAGCACAGGATGCTCAGTGGCAGACTTTAGATTCTGAAATGCGTGTTTGCTGCTGGTGTGCAGTGTGTCAGACAGGATTTGCGCTGAAGAAGGGGCAGGCCCTCATACGCATAACCTTTTCAGTGCCTACCACTCTTCGTCAGAAGCTTCCCTCTCCCCATAGTCACAGTTCCCCCCGCCTGGGTTCTGAGGTCTATTAGTGGCTCAAGTAAAGGTAAAGGTTTCCCTTGCTCGAAAGCCAGTCGAATCCGACTCTAGGGTTGCGGTGCCCATCTCCGTTTCAAAGCCGAAGAGCCAGCGCTGTCCGAAGACGTTTCCGTGGTCATGTGGCCGGCATGACTAAACACCGAGGCGCACAGAACGCTGTTACCTTCCCACCGAAGTGGTACCTATTTATCTACTTGCAATTTCTTGCTTTCGAACTGCTAGTTTGGCAGGAGCTGGAACTAGAGATGGGAGCTCACTCCATCATGCGGCACCCGGGTCTCGAACTGCTGAACACGGCACCCGGGTCGCGAACTGCTGAACCTTCCACAGCCTGCAGTTCAGCGTCTTAACCACTTGAGCCACCACAGCTCCAAGTGGCTCAAGTAGGGGTGTCTTATTCTGGGCCAAGCTTCTTTGCTTACACACTTGTCAGGCATGCTTGAAGGCAAGAAACCCAGACGGCTATCTCCTTAGGATTCAGAAGTGCATGCTACCTTTGAACAAGCGTGCAGTTGAGAGAGCAGTTTTCAGGACACCTGATACAACCATTGTGCTGCTTATATAGCCATTGAGCTAAGCAAGATATCAGCCTGCTCAGCGCATGGATGGGAGGCAAGTCTCATTCCAGCTGCTCTCAGCTTCCAGCGGAAGAAGGGGGGGATATGTGAAATAAAACTATAAAAATAACTTTGAAACCCTTCAGCTGGAACAGAAATTGATCTTTTGTTCTTCAGTCGAGATCCCAGATGGAACAGGATGCATTGTGTAAATCACCAGAATTGGAGCTGAATGCATTGCTGTTCCTTGTGGGCAGGATGTGTAGAAATTTGGGGGCATTTCTCTGCACCTTCCACATTTCACTGTCCATTGAAATGCTGATCCTTCCTTCCCGGTGGCCTGGTGCCATCTCCTATTGTTGCTGGCCTTGTCAGTCGAGCCTTAAATTTATTCATGAAACATGCCGAAGCTCAGGTGGTTGCAGCTAAATCCATTTAGCAGTCAGAAGCAGAGGAAAGCCATTTGAATGTTCTTGTATGGCCACTGTATTACTTAGCGGACCCAGAGGGTATTAATTACTCCGTTTGCTCGCAGATGTACAATCCAGAATTTATCAGGATGAACGCATTGAGAGTGAATCTTAAGTCAACAGTAATTAACATGGAGTGGTGAAAAACAACAACACAGGACACCCAAACGAAGGCTGAAAGCCAGTCTTTTCCCATTACAGCTGCTAGTAGTTCAGGGTGAATGTAGGATGGGCTGGGGAATATGTAAGATGCAGAGTGATTTTTACTGCTAATATACCTTCTATTTGGTTATCCAGTTTATTCAATAGGACGTTTGATCATTTAAATTTGTGAGGAACCCAATTCTAGGAATTTGTGCCTGTAGCAGTTTCCTTCCGCCTTTTCTCCCCCCCCCCCCTTGCAAATATGAAATTACTATCCCTGTTCTGGGAGTGTGTTTGCTAGAAGATGCGTTTGGGTGGGTGGCTTTGTTCTTTTCTTCCCTTTTCTTTGCGTGCCCGTGTGTGTGTGTGTGTGTTTTGTTTTGTTGTGTCAGAATGCTGTGGCAATATTTTACAGGGCTTTTTTCAAACATATAATAATCTGGAGAGCATCCTCCGATGAGTGACAGCCAGGGAGATGAATCGGCAGGCTCTGCTTGACAAATGCAAGCGTAGCGGGTGTATTTATACCACATCCATTAAGAAAGACAAATGGGAAGCTGAACGGCCGCCTGCCCTGCAATTTGGCAGTCACAGGATTCCGAGAAAGCGGCTGAGCCAGTGGGAAAGGGGTCAGTGTTGAAAATGTCACAAGCCAAAGCAATCTGGGAGAGCACATCCTGTTGTCTTCTATTTTAAATTGTCTTAACATACCCCTTCCCATCTACTAGCAGTGTAAAGCCTGTGCTAATTCTTTGTTTCTAGGATATGCTGATGACTTCAGTTTAGAAGACGCACTCAGAGACCAGCCAACAAAGCGACGTAAGTCAGCCTTTTTTTCCAGGGAGAGCAAATTGGTCATAGACTCGGCTGATTGGCTTAGGGCCTATCTAGGTGTTTTTATAGTAATATTGACCTTTAAGGCCTTAAGCAGTCAGGGATCTATGTATTTTTGGGACTGTCTCTCTCTCTCTCTCTCTCTCTCTCTCTCTCTTTTTTTTAAACTGCCCCGAAAGGCAGAATTTTATTGCAATTTTTCACATGTTTTACACAAACACACACAAAATAAACATATAAACAAACATACATACACACATATATGGGGGTTATCATTCTTTTTAACAACATTATGCTTATGCCTAATCCACCTTAATCTCTATTCTTGTATATTGAGTAACCATCCACTCTATCTCAATCGAGTAGTATATACTTTCTAATAAAACGAATAGTCGGACCATTATAAACTTGCCTACATGTGATTATCATACAATTATAAAACTGTGTCCAAGTATTCTGGAATGTAGAGTCTGTTAAACCTTTTATCAATAAAGTCAATTTATCTAATTCCGCTGCCTCCAAAACTTTCTTTATAAATTCTCGCTTTGTTGGTATCTCCGTTGATTCCCAATATTTAGCATAAAGAATTCTGGCCTTTTTGGGACTCCTTTGGTATGTCCCCTGAAGAGCCTTATGCTCTGCAGAGAACAATCTGCTAGTGATCCCCAGCCCAAAGGAAGTCCAGCTGTCCTCAACCAGAGCTAGGGCTTTTTCTGCCCTGGCTACTATCTGATGGAACTCTCTGCCGAACAACATCCGAGCTCAGTGGGAGCTAATGCAGTTAAGGGCCATAGCCAGCTGGGGGGGGGGGGGGGGCGATCACATCTGCAACACCGCCACCCAGTCTTCTCTTGTTTAAATTTTAATTTAAATATCTTGTTTAAGCCACGCTGCTTCAAAACACAGCTCGAAGCTGTGCTGACTTGAAGCAAAATTTCCTTCCTTCTGCCCCTGAGGAGGATAGTTCCATTGCTGTTTCCATGACTAGGAAACAACAAGGCAACACAACCCCCTCCTCCCCAGTCCGGGAAGTCTCCAAGGCTAGTGGCCCCATAGCAGGGAGTGCCACCAGCACAGCGTTCACCTGCGGCAGCCTTCTGGGCCAAGGCATCCTCTCCGGTGCGCTGGGGCTGAAGGGTGTCTCCTGGCCAGTGGGTGAGTCCTGCAGGTTCCTTCCCAGCAAGCCCCTGCTCAAGGCAACCTGCATGGGATGGCGGCCACAAGAGTGCATGTGTGGGATGGTCTTCAGAGCAAGGGGCCTGTCTCACGTTGTCTTACTTGCGGGGGCCAGAAAAGCTTCGCTGGCATCATCGGGGCTGGGAAACCTGCATCACCCAGTAATTTAATTAAATTTAAAATCAAATTTAATTTTAAAACTAATTTAAAATGTATTTGAATTTAATTTAACGATGACCCCCCTCCCTGGTGCCCTGGCCCCCCTTCTGAAAAAATTCCTGGCTACAGGGCTGATGCCGTCCCCCAGGGCTTGCAAGGCAGAGATGTTCCACCAGGCCTTTGGTTGAGGACACTGATGGGTAACACCTTACTGGAACTCTCTCCCTCCTTCTCCTCCCCTCCCTCTTCTTTCTCTTCGTGCCTCTTTTCCATCTTCTTGTGGGGCAGGGACATAATTAGAATCTGACATGTTAAACGCCGTCTGAGAACATTATTATTTATATATTAGTTATATTGCTCTATTATTTGTGAATGTTTCTATCGTTCTGTTGTTCACTGCCCTGAGCTGTGTATACACAGGGTTAGGGTGGTCCATAAATTTGAATTATAAATAAATAAAATAAACAATAAAACATTACGAGCTAAAACCAGAATAACCCCAAACACCATCTTTCCCCAGTAAAAGAAGCCTGCTGTTTGTAGCCCAGGGCAAACAAGCAGCACCTCCCTACGATCCTGTGGAAGGGGGCTCTCCTCTTGAGGGTGCCTGTTCCACAGAGTCAAATGGAATGGAAAAGGCCCAGACTCTAGTCGATGCCAGGTGGGCCACCTTGTGGGAGAACAGCCAGCCATTTGGCTGCCTGAAGACCATAGATGGCGCCAGGGGTCATTTCGTAGAAAAAGAGGTGCAGGAGCTCATTAGCATAACTCATTAGCATAACATATTTGCATATGCCACGCCCCCTGACATCACTGGAAGTGTGTCAGAAGGCAACACCCACTGCTCAGGCTCCACTGGACTGTTTTGGATTGCTAGCTATTGGGGGGGGGGACATGCAGATCTGTCCTCGCAGAGGAGGGAGAGCTTGTATCTGAATAAAACTTGGTCTTAAAGGTGCCACTGGACTGTTTTGGACCGGGGGACTGGGGGCGGGGCTCTGCAACTTACCTGGCTGCTTCTTGCTCTGACTGAGGGCTGCTGGGAGCAGGGGGTGGGGCTTGTTGCATGTGCCCGCCCCCTGGGCTCTTTATTCCCAGAGCTCCGCTCCTGTGCGCTCCTGCAGGAAATGACTCCTGGATGGCGCACAGGAATATTCGTGAGGAGAGGCTCTTTCAGATATGTGGGCTCCAGGCTGTGAAACCGTCCATGCAATTAGACACCTAGCACACCTTCTTTCTTTGCTTGCTGTTTCGGTTTTTCTTTTTGCAGGGAATTCTTAACAGGGGAGCTTTACAAAGTGGGATCCTCAATAATCCACAAGCTTGCAGCCTGAAGCAATACAAACCATTGTGTGACCTCAGATGTCTGCAATCTCATTGCCACCTCATTCTCTCCTGCATGTGTGAACGAGGGCTGTTTTCCTTATGGCAGCGTTGTTGTCAGGCACATCCACATGATATCACCTTTTATTCTACTTCTGTTTTTCTCTGCATTATTGCAATTAGTCCTGAACCTGATTTGGTACAGTGTTTTTGGGAAGATCTCAATCAAAGCGTTTTCCTTGCCAGAGCCCCAAGGTTGCTCCCCACACACACCAGACGGCTTTTTCAGACTTTAAAAAAAGAAAACAAAAAGAAAGTGATAGGTCACTGCAAGAACAGTCTGTTGCCCAATCTATGTTCCTAGCTCTCATTTAAAAGAAAAAAGGCTGCCTATTTTCCCTTGTACTTTGCAACTAGGGTTGAGTATGAACTGGCTCTCAAGCCAAAATTCAGCACAAACTTGAGCTGGTTTGGAGCCCATGAACCGATGTTCAGGGAAGGCGCCTTCCCTGAGCATTTACCGGACTTTTGTCCAATTCAGTTCAGCTCTTTGGGGCCATTTAAACGTAACTTCTGAGCAGTGCGGGGTCTGCAGCTGAGCTGTTAGGTCATTTCAGCCTAACAGTTGATGGGCAGACACGCCCCACTGTTAGGTTTAAATGGGTATGAGCCATTAAATCTATCGGTTTCGCTGGGGGAAAATAAAACAAACAGGTTAAATAGCTGCTAGCCATGTAACACTTCCCGGGTGATTCCTCCCCTGCAGCTGGGAGAAAGTGGGAACCAAACTCACCAGACCAGCTCGGTTCTTTTGACTCGGTTTGGGGTTCACTTCGGGGTCCGCCCCAAACCATGAACTGAACTGGATTTTTTAGGTTTGTGCTCATCCCTTCTTCCAACAAAAAGGGCTGGAGACTTGCATTTAAAAAAAAGAAAGTAAGCTGGGGCAAGTAGACTGTGGCAACACATCGTTATAATACTACAGTGATCTAGCAATCCCCTCTCTTCTTTTAAAATCCCTCTTGTTGGGGTGGGGGAATGGTGTCCATAGAGGAAGGCGTATGCAAGGAAAGTGTGGTAAAAACTGCTGTGTGGCTGCTCTGTTGCCTCTGCAAGAAGTACACAGAGAACCATCTCCATGTGGAAACAGGGTTCGCCCAAGTATACACTTAATTTAGCGTGCTGTTTCAGAAATCAGCCCGCCAGATGCTGCTGGGTACTTTCCAGCACAGCATGTAGGACTTTCAATGCTGTCGACAGCACGAGGAGAAGAGACTTGTTTTATTCTCTTTTAAATGAAAATTGAAATTGTCTGGGTAGTTCGTTCTGTGCTTACTACCACATCCTGCAGGGGAACATAACATCCCCCCTTCCCCCCGTCCAGTATCTTATAACATAGTTTAAGATTCAGTAAAGCATGCTTTTTCGTTAAATGTAATTACATTTTTTTTGTCTTTTTTGTCTTCTACCAGCTACTCACAAGCCACCCAAAAAGCCTTCTTCTAGTGGAACAGGTGAGATGTTTAAAATTTATCCTTTATCAGTGCCATAATGCAGGCATTTGGATCTTTTAGCACTTGTGTGTGGTGGTAGAGGGTGGCGACTTGAGAGTGACTCTGGGAGTGGGGCTGGTGGATTCCGGAGGAAGCAAAACCGATCACCCCCCGCACACACACACTCACTCACACAGACAATGGCTTATCCTGCCAATGAATTGAGTGACCCGTGGCTCCCTCAGTAGTACCACAGCGACTGCAGTGCAGATGGTGCCGCATCAACCACTGCAGCGTCATGGCCTTGGTGGACTCCTCCATTTGACTGACACACTCTACTGTAGAGTGAAAAACTGAACAATGGGATAACAGGGGAGAAAAGAAGAAGAAGAAGAGAGAAGAGATTGGATTTATACCCCGCCCTTCACTACCCAAAGGTGTCTCAGAGCGGCTTACAAACTCCTTCCCCTTCCCCTCCCCACAACAGACACCCTGTGAGGTAGGTGGGGCTGAGGGAGCTCTTGACAGAAACTGCTCTTTTTCAAGAACAGCTCTTATCAGAGCTATGGCTTGCCCAAGGTCATCCAGCCAGGTGCAAGTGGAGGAGTGGGGAATCAAACCCGGTTCTCCCAGATTAGAGTCCGTGCACTTAACCACTACATCAAACTGGCTGTCACCACCTGCATCTGCCTCATATTGTCATACCATTGGTCTGTCTAGCTTAATAATGGCAGCGGCTCTCCAAAGCCTTGGGGAGAGAAAGGTTTCCCTCCCACCTTCTGCCTGAGAGCCCTCAGCATGAGACGCCTGGGGCTGAATGGGGGACCTTCTGCATGCAGAGCTGGTGTTCTGCCATCCAGCTGTAGGGCTTCTGCTGCCCCTCCCCCTCAGACACAGACTTCATATAAATATCGTTTGTGTTCTTCATTTTGGAGCGTCTGGCCCTTGTTTCTCATGGGATGCTGGATGTACTGTATTTTGTGACAGCCATTGGGGTTTTAAAGAAGAAGAAAACGGTAGATTGACAAATGCATCTTTGCTGAGGGGTATAACATAGGACACCACAAGCTGAGCTCAGAGAGAAATCGACACACATTTGCGAACGACCATAGAGAAAATGTTTCTAATGCAGTTGTGTGCTTCCACTGCATGTTTTTGTGTATGCTCACTGAACAGGTGGTTTTGACCTGTCTGACTACTTTGATGACCCTCTGGAGACAACGACAAAGCCAGCAAAGGTGACCACTGGCCCTTATCCGAAGAAACCAGGTAGTGATTCTATTCCTTGCTGTGTTTTGTAACAGGTGAAGCTAAATTTAAGTTGTCCCTTTGAAACCTTGATAGGACCAAGAGATCCTGCTACATTTCCTTTTATTTAACATTTCCTCCCCCATTTCCTTCTCCTCAGAGATTTCTCTTTGCTTTGCCTCTTGTTCCTAAGTTCCCTTGGCCTTTGTGTGTAGGTGAGCCAGAAGCTTCCTACTCTGTTTTTAATGTTTAAACTGTGTAAGTGCTCCAGCTTGTCCTGTCCTGTTGTACGAGGTAAGAAACAGATTGTTTTACATGTCTTTTGTATTGTACAGTGGGCAAAAAACAGACAAAAGAAGCCACACGCTATTAGTGTTCAGGACACAGGCCTGGAGGCCTGTGGGGCTTAGTTTAGCTGCTTCTGTGCGATTGCTCCCTGTTTCAGTACCAATAAAATGATAGAGGCCAAATATTTATTTTTTTATTTATTTGATTTCTATCCCGCCCTCCTTGCCAAGGCGGGCTCAGGGCAGCGTACAACATTCATAAAGTACAAATACAGTTAAAAAATAGCATATGAATAACTTAAAATTAACAATCATTTTAAACCTATAAAAACGCTGGAACATATCAAGTAATAAGAGCAACATCAGCTTAGTTCTCATTGTTATACGGCAGGCATGGCTGAGGACACGATGGTAAGATCCAGGACACAGGCTGGAAGGAAAGGGGGGAAAAGCCAGGGCACAGGGACACTCCTCGGTGTATGGAGCGGGTCCTAGTCAAACGCCTGCTGTAAGAGCTCCATCTTACAGGCCCTGCGGAACTGTAAAAGATCCTGCAGGGCCCTGATTTCTTCTGGGAGCTCATTACACCAGAATGGAGCCGCCACCGAGAAGGCCCTGGCCCTGGTTGCCACCAGTCTGACATCCCTGGGGCCTGGAAGGGCCATCGGATTATGTGCCCCTGAACGCAGTGCTTTCTGGGGAACATGTGGGGAAAGGTATGCAGGACCCTGACCATATAGGGCTTTAAAGGTTAAAACCAGCACCTTGAAACGAATCCAGTATGGTATTGGCAGCTAGTGCAGTGCTTTCAGTACTGGCTGGATGTGCTCCCACATGAGGATACCCATCAGCAGCCTGCCTGCTGCATTCTGCACTAGCTGCAGCTTCCGGATTTGGGACAGGGGCAGCCCCATGTAGAGAGCATTACAGTGGTCCAGTCTCAAGGCGACCATCGTGTGGGTCACTGTTGCTAAGTCATTACGTTCACTTGAACGCATACTTAAATAACTTGGTGTGTGTGCGCACGTGCGCATGTTAAAATCTCACTTGAACCTGACTCGCATGTTGAATGGACATCACTTGATGACTCACTCACAGCTGAACATGGCAATTTCCTCCGTGAAATGTTTGTGAGAGATCTCGTGTAATATGGATGCTCCACCTCTGGTACTCAATCTCTGGCGGCTGCTTCATATGCGCAAGCCATCACTTCATGTTGCTGTCTTTGATGGATGGACATATCCTGTGTGAATCGATTCCAGATCTGTAGTGTGTGTGGGAAGGGAAGGGGTTTAAAAGCCAGTCCAGATGTGACACAGCCTATGGCCTTTCCATGTGTCCCATAATCGTTGGAATTGCTGTAAACCTTTTATAGTTGTCCTTGTCTGGCATCCTGGCTTCTGGGTTCAAGGGTAATTCTTCCTTGTGTTGCCTTAACTTCAGACGATATCCGCTGGAATGTACAGTACACCACCACCACCAAGCAGCCGAAAACGACCAAGGCACCCCCCAAAAAACACCCAGGTGAGTACTAACCTTGCGGGGTCATGTTAGGCATCAAATGGTTAAAGCAGGGGTGGGTGGGGTGGGGGAGAAAAGTGATTATGTTATCTTCTCTAAGGATCCTATTTTGGTACTGCTTGAAGACTTACAGTGGTGCAAAGCAAGAACCCGTGCAGATCCATAGTCATCAGTGTTCTTAAGGTTTTGTCAGAGAAAATCTAAGGAATAAAATTGTGTCCCATCAAAAGAGGAAACAGTAGGTGTGCTGTCATTCTTCCTGTTTTATCTTAAGTGATAGCATAGTAACCAACGGGCCATTAGTATGAGCAGGGCTTTTTTTGTAGAAAAAGCCCAGCAGGAACTCATTAGCATAATAGGCCACACCCAACAGCAGGAACTCATTAGCATATTAGGCCACACCCATGACAGCACAGCTAATTAGCATATTAGGCCGCACCCCCATATTACCAGAAGTGTGGTCATCCAGCCAGACCCACCTTTTGCTTCTTATTCTGTTTACCTTGTTTGTTGTCAAAACCCAGGGGTTTTTTTGGAGCAGGAACTCCTTTGCATGTTAGGCCACACACCCCTAATGTAGCCAATCCTAATGAGTTCCTGCTGTTGGGTGTGGCCTATTATGCTAATCAGTTCCTGCTGGGTGTGGCCAACTTGGGAGCCAGCCGGAACTCCGTTCCTGTGTCATTCCTGCCCAAAAATAGCCCTGAGTATGAGTATTTTCTTTCAGCCCTTCACAGATCCCTAGGCATCAATTATTTCTCCTGATGCTAAAGCTGAAACTTTATAATTACTACTATTTTAAGGTCATCCACAATTCATGTGCTCAGAGTGTAGATTCATTTCACATTTGTGAAATACAGATCAGGGAAATCCGCTAGAGGTCCAGATGTTGAATTTCAAGAGAGACATCACAGTGTTCCATTTTCAGACTTTCCCAGCAATCAGTGTGTTTTGGATTACATTTCTACCAAGTTTCGGCTTAATGTCTATGGAAGCAGCCTAACAAGTCTGATATTCCTTTCAGTGGTGTGCCCCAAATAACTTTATGCCTATAAGCTTTAAGAAACTAAACAGAGTAACATGGGCGAGGATTCTTGTGTTGCACTGCACATACCCTCACAAAAGGTCACAAGATGAGCTAAATCCAAATGGTTTTGTTACTTTCTGCACAAAAGGAAATGGGAGACTAGCTAACATATTCCCCCCCTGCCTTCTCTTGGTAGTTATATGATATTCCAGCATTTGTTCGGCTATGAAAGACACCTTTTGTGCAAAGTGATGTTTATACTGACCACAGTTAGGCAAGGACCTGGCTGAATGAATCAGAAATGTCTTCGAGCATGTGGCATGAAAAGATGAAGCCTTCTAGTTCCTTTTCTAACAGGTGGCATCATTTAAAGTTACAGAACACGGGCAATTTCAATTTAAATTCTTCAGTGATGATAAATACCTGCCTGAGTGTTAGAGTCCCACATGTAACCAGTGTGCTATTTTACAGCCAAAGATTCCTTGGATTTTGACTTAAGCGATGCCTTGGATGACCAAAATGATGCGCAAGGTGGTGGGACGCCAGTTGTCAATCCTGGTGGAGGTACGTTCATTAATTGACCTCAGTTTATGCTTTTGAAAAGTCGTTCATCCTTTTTCAAGCACCGGTTTGGAGTTTACTATCTTAGGTTGCTCAACTTGTAGATAAAGTTAGAAAATTCTCCTGTGTTGGACTTTTTTATTGTATATTTCTGCTATTTCAGCTACTGATTTTGCTCTGCTGCTTATTTTACCGTTTTTATCTATTTTGTGATGAAATTTATGTATTTTTAATTTTAATTTTTTTTTCATTTGTAAGCTACTCCTTTCCTTTTATTCCCTCAGAAGTTCATTGATTAACAAATTTTGAGCAGCAGAATATTCTTGTTCTTCGTTTTTTGGATGCAAGGGCTAAAAGGACTGAAAAGAATTTTGCTATTGCCAAAGTGATCTTAGGATCCCTATCACTAAGCAAAGGAGACAGAATTTCCAGGGTGTAGGGGGATGACTGATCAATTAGTGGCTTAATATAACAATCCCTTATATTCTCAAAAAATTGCATTCAAGCAAAACATGAAAAGGTGTATCAATCCTATTAAGGCCACAAGGGTACATTCTATCGGAATAAGGCCTCTTCATTTGTAAGCTGCTTTAAGCTTTTGAGGAATTATGCTAGAAAACAAACCTGGCCCTCCTGGAAAGGAGGCCGTATGCCTTCTGGGGAAGACCAAGTGCACCCTGAATGCCCCTTGCCTTACTGGGATCCATCTTAAAGACCACATTTCTGACTGTTTTTTGTCTGGCTGCAAACATCCAGGTGGTTATAGGAGCAGTAAAACCAGCTGTGAGTATTCAAAACTACAGGAAGTTACCATCAGCATTTAATTATTCAAAAACATTAGGAAATACATTGAAACCCTAGAAAAGGCAATCTGGAAATCCAGCGGACTGGAACCACTCCATTGCAAGTCCAGCCCAATCTTGCACACCCCATAAAAGTCGCTAGTCTGAAGAGACCTTCGCCGGCCACTTACCCACACGTACCTGGGCTAGTAATTTGTAACATTCTCCGCAACGTAAAACTTTGGGAGCTTCCCTAGCTTGTCACCTGGAGGCGCTTTCTGCTTGCTCCCGGAGATCAGACATCCCTGTCCTGCCTGAGGTGATGGGGCTGTAGGTAGAGATATCTCTGGAAAGGGAAGAGCCAAATGACTCTGCTTATTTCTGGCCCATTCTGTGCACGGCAGGGAGCGCGGCTGAATGAAGCAGCCTCTTGCCTCCAGGTGAAACGGAAGAAGGACGCTCCTCTTAGTCTCATTGTGCCCCTGTGTCGACCACCTGGGAGTATACTGTGAAGCCTGCATCTTATGCTGCCGTTTTTGTAAGGCAAACGTAGAAGTGGTGAAAAATGAAATCTATGACTACTATGATTCTATTAAGTATTGGAAGGGCTGTCTCTTAGAGGAGGGCAGGGAGCTGTTCCTGTTGGCAGCAGAGGGCAGGACTCGCAAGACTGGGTTTAAATTAAGGGCGGGAAGGTACGGGCTGGCTTTAGGAAAAACTTTTTTACAGTAAGAGTTGTGCAACGGTGGAATCAGCTGCCTAGGGAGGTGGTGAGCTCCCCCTCACCAGCAGACTTTAAGCAGCGGCTGGACAAACACTTGTCAAACACTCTAGGCTGATCCTGCATTGAGCAGCGGGTTGGACTAGATCGCCTGTATGGCCCCTTCCAACTCTGTGATTCTATGATTCTATTGGGGCAGGTGAGAAAAGGCAAGAGTCAGTAAAAGAAAAGAGGGCTTCATGTAATTCATTGGGACTTCCCCATCCCTCCCAACTTAACATGAACCCCCCCCCCAAGGTCAGCCTCAACGGAAAGCCCTTCTGCTGTTTCTAAAAGTCATTCAGCGGCACCGGAAATCTAGCATGAGGCAATTTGCTAAATTTTAAAAATGACTATTTTGTAAAATGTATAGATCTTACAAGCAGTTCACAGGATTTCCTGCCTAAAGCAAATGGATGCTGGTCTAGATACAGAATCCAGTTTTCAGAGAAGTGTCTGTATAAAAGCAAAACGGAGTCTTGTGGTACCTCCAGGGCCCATAGATTAGTTGTGGCAAAGCCCTGACCTAGGTGGCCTGGACTATCGCAATCTCATCAGGTCTCAGAGCCAGGCAGGGCTGGCCCTGGCGAGTGCTATGGTGAAACACCACCAAGGAAGTCCAGAGTCACTGTGCAGAGGCAGGCAGTGGCCAGCCACCTCTCTTTGTCTTTTGCCTTGAAAACCCTACAGAGTCTATTTCATAGGTCAGCAGCGATTTGATGGCACTTTCCACCACCAGGCTTTTGTGCCCCGGAACTCATTCCAGCAGATACTTGAGAAGTGTATTCTCATTTTGGCAGATGCTCATTGGCATGGAGAGAGAAAAAATGATCAATGGTCCAAAATGTAGTGAAATGCTAGAGGTACAGACTGCGTCATGTCTGCGCAAAGCCTGAATGTATATAAAGTGAACACGGCAGCGGTAATAACGGATCTTGTTAGTCTTGCTAAGCTAATTTAACACTTGTAGCGTGAAAGCAACCCATAATTGTGATTGAGCCCTAATTGTTTAGTGTCAAGCTTCCTAATGAATTCTAATTCAGGAGTTTCTCATGGGAGAACTTCCCTTGAAAGTTCTATTGTTGAAAACTGGTGATTTTCAGGTCAGCAGCAGAGTGGCCTGGTGAAGCTGATGTTTTCTTCCACCACTTTTTGAGCATTGCCAGATTTGATAGCAATTCTGTGACCAGGGATTCTTTTGCTAGATAATGTATGTAGGCTGCGGTCACACAGAGCATTAGACACGCTACAGAGTCGGAAAATAGGCGGATTTTCTGGGCGCGATCACACCGCCACATCTGGGAAGCGTAGAGTTCCCGTGGCTAACCCGAGGCTTCCCGCCGCAGATGCGGGGTAAAAAACTAGTACCTCTGAGGTACTAGTTTCCGGAAACCGCGGGGCAAGGGCAGGCATCTGATCACGTTTCCGGTGGTAGTTTGTGGCATCCGGCGCCCTCCCATGTCCCCTCGCAAAAAGGTCCCCCCCCCAAGTCTCCACGGGATGCGCAGAAGCACCCAATGGAGCATGCTCACACTTCAGTTTTAAAAAACCCACAACCCCGTTTGCCGCGCCGCCCTGCTTCTTTGCCGTGCGGCAGGATTGTCGTGTGATTGCCACCTCCCCCCTAACCACGGGACCTCGACGGGAGCTCAAAGGGACGTCTGATTGCTTCAGGGCAAACAGCCACGCTCCCCCCCGCTTTTTCCGGCCCGTGTGACCAGGGCCAATGTTGGTTTTTGTCACCATGCCCTCAAAGTATGTTGTCATCTTTATAGTCTCTCTTCCCCACCCCCACCTTCCTGGTCATTATTTTACCCAGGGCTATTTTGGGGCAGGAACGGAGTTCTGGCTGGTTCCTGAGTTGGCAACGCCCAGCAGGAACTCATTAGCATAATAGGCCACACCCAACAGCAGAGACTCTTTAGGATTGGCTACATTAGGGGTGTGTGGCCTAACATGCAAAGGGGTTCCTGCTACAAAAAAAGGCCCTGGGTTTTGACAACAAACAAGGTAAACAGAATAACAAGCAAAAGGTGGGTGTGGCTGGATAACCACACTTCTGGCAACATGGGGGTGCGGCCTAATGTGCTAATGAGCTGTGCTGTCAGGGGTGTGGCCCAATATGCTAATGAGTTCCTGCTGTTGGGTGTGGCCTATTATGCTAATGAGTTCCTGCTGGGCTTTTTCTACAAAAAGAGCCCTGACCATACTCATTTTTTTGAAGGATAGTCGAAAAGGCATCTGTTTCAACCCAGGCTGGTCTTAATAGCGACAACGTGAAGAAAAGTAGGCAAAGCAGAATATTTCTTTGAATAGTCCTAACTCCCAACAACTTGCCCTGTTTGAATGCTCTTAAGTTTGCCTTTCCTTTGTGGTATTGCAAAACCTAAACCAACAACTGCTATTTTCTGTGATCAGTTAATGAATAAAGAATCCTGTTCCAGGCTCCAAAGGTAGAGGTGGAAGAGGTGGAAAACCTGGTAAGGAGTCTTGGATTGGCTCCCAGTTACTACTGCCTGCTTTTTTAACTGATGATAAATCTCTGCGCTGTCTTTGCCATCCACTTTTTCCTAAGCCTCCAAAAGCATCTTATTACTTATCTGCACAATGCACTGGGGAACTTTAGATGCTGAATACCTCTCGTAATTTCCCCTATTAATCAGGAACTCCCCCCTTTCTTTCTTTGATTGTTCCCACTTTATCACTAACTCAGTATCAGATCTTGTGTCAGCCACCAGAATAACCCAGTCACATTATATTTTTTAAAAACTCCTCAACTCAGAGATATTCGGAGAAAGCAGCCATTGTGTGAATTCAAAAGCAGATCATTATTACACCCGTTAAGAGGTCTGGGGCCAGATAGTGTCCCTCACTGAAGTTGTAGCAAAGAAATGCTGGCACTTTCTTTGGCCTCCTCTACTCTGGCCCTACCTTAAGTTCAAGCAGTTCTTCCCAGCTTTTTACCCGGCACCTCAGAGAGCTGCTGCCAAAACAGGACAGGACAGTAAGCTGGCTAGGATATTAGTTTGACTCAGGGTTCCTTATATCATTCATCCCCTCAGGGACATAAAAATACTGGTTTGCTTTGCAGGGGTAAACTAGAGGAACTGAGCTCAGGAATTGTCCGGAGGGCGATGTGACATTGCTTTTACGACCAAAGCTAAATAGGTGTGGCCTTGAAGTTGGCGCCTGGGAAACATATTTAGTTTTATTTAAACATCTGTGCTGCTTTTTCACCTCAGGGCACCTGAAAGTGTGTTCCTGGGAGATGCCCTAGTTCAAAAAGTAAATTTAATTTTGCCTCTCTCTCTTTTTTTAAAAGGGGGTGCCAGAAGTATTTTCTTATAGGATGGAGGCAACGCTAGGGGAGCAAGTGGGTTGCAAGCTCCTCCCTCAGGGTTTTCCTTTGTGGTGGGGCGGGTTTGTGGCATCCCTGTCAGTTATTCCGAGGCCCAAAAGAACAGAAGTATCTGTGGAAACCTGCAGTCCTTCTTCCCTTCGTTTCTCCTTCTCACCTGTTTTTCCTTTGCTGGATCCCTTCTCCTGCCTGATCTCCTGCCACACAGTGTTACTTGGGGTGGGTGGGTTGCTTGTCTGCTTTCTACTTCCTGCAGTATTATGAGGGTGACTCATACAAGAAGTGCTTGGTGTCCTGACTGACAAACAAGCAAAACAAATTGCTTTGTCTTCCTTGCATGCGATCAATCCTAGATCAAACGATTGTTTTCTCTGGCTGTTGATAGCCAAAGCATGGAGTGTGTGTCTTTCCTCCACATCTCCATTCCCACTTAACCATGGGAAACCTTCTCTCTCTCGCAGTTGTAGCCTAAACATTGGGGTTGGTGTTCGCTGGCTGCAGTTCCTGAATAAAGTCCTAGTACCAATGCCCATCCCAGGCACTTAATTCTGTTTGCTGGTCTACCAGAGTCTCGAGACATGGCAAATTGCCACTGGCACCAAAACTTACTCACCAAGGCTTCCAGGACCTGAAGTACTCAAAACAGAAACAGCCCCCTGAGCTTTCTGTTCTCATTACTGTGTCCACAACATAATTCCACCCTGATCTTGCCATGAAGACAATTAGGAAAGTGCAGTCCAGCATTAACTGCAGTCCAGCATAGAGTTAGAGGGCCGTAAACCCATTGTTTAGGGTGTGTGTATTGGATTGTGGCAGCTGGGCACTGGTGGGCCCTTTAAAAAACTGCAGCAAAAAGTAATTCTGTTAGAAGGGCAGTTTTCTTTGTGGACTGAGGCCTGGTATTATTTATGTGTTCCTCTGCCACTGAGAGCCACTGATATAGAGCAGGGATGGAGAAACATACAGCATAAAAATGTCACAACACATGATTGCTCATACCTGCCATTGATGAAACGTGTAGGTGAATGTGTTGTGGGACTGCTGTGTTTTGGCACCAGCCTCGTGCTTCTTTTAACAGTTCTTTCCACCCCCACACAAGCAGTGGTTGTTTTTATTCCCTAATTGGCACCTAACCAGCACCAATCCTGCTAAAACATATCTCTCTGTTGGATGTGTTACTAGAAAAACATCATTCTTTTGCTAACCATTCAGACAGAAATGTATTTTGACCTTTTCTTTGTGAACTAATGCTTGCATTTAATTCATTACAACTTTTCAGGTTTTTCAGATGATGACCTGGCTGGAATTCTGGATGATGGAGGCTACCAACCAGACAAGAAGAAAGGTACAGCCTGTCACTTAACTAAAAAGCTTCTAGGATCTTCAGCTACCTCATCTTGAACATATCATCTGTATTCAGACATCACCAGGAAACTGTGGCTTGTTTGTGACGAGAACAAGCCCAATTAATTCTTGGACTGTGACAGTTTTGCCACTTCCTCCCTCCCTCCCCTCACATGCAGAACTGAGATTGGAGACTTCCAGGTTTAGAACTTTACTTTTTAATGTCTGAACTGGGTGTTTTTAACTGTGGCTTGGTTTTTCGCACACAGATTTGGATGGTAAACTAGGTTTCAACTCTGGTTTGGAATCCTAGTCTGAGGCAAGAAGCCAAACCACAGTTGATTAAAGTGCCCAGTTGAGACATCATAACCAATTGCATTGCAGTTAGTTCTAAACCTGGAAGTCTCCAATCTCTTTGTGCACGAGGAGGAAGAATGGGGAGGCAACTTGTGAGTCAGGGGATAAACAAGGCTTATTCTCCTGATTTCGTTCATAACGTCTGAAGGTAACCTTTGACTTTACAGCAAATCTTGTCGATCACAATGGATCTTACCCCTTTATAAGCCACATTAGGACTGTTAAGCAAAGTGGCTGCAGTCCTATAGACAGGGACCCAGAGAGGGACAAGACCAAACTTGGAAGACACTTTCCTAAGCCCCACTAAGTAATATAGGATTTACGTCTGAGTAGATCTGGTGTGGATTGCACCTATAACCTAAATTTCATGTTTTTTGGGGGGGAACTGGTGTCTTTCTTTCTGTTACTCCTAGTCTGTAGAATCATGTTTTAGTACTCGATGTTTTTAAAGTTACACATAGAAGACATGATCTTTCCTGTTCAGAAGGAAACCCTGTTTTCAAGGCTGTGCTTTGTGAAGTTGCATCAGCTCTTAAATGAATTCTCATTGTTGACAGCTCCTTTCTTTTCTGGGCTGGTTGCAGTTAGCTGTTCAGTGAGCTTTTGCTTCAGTGGCAATGGATTTGTTCAGAAACATATCTTGTGGAGTGCATGGTTTGGCTGTTACAGCCCAAAATTAACATATATGCAAATGAAATGTTTGGGGCCATTTTGATGGGCTTATAAAATTTGTTAATGGCAGGATGACAACATTCTGTCACTGTCTCCTGCCTTGGAGCTCTTAGGGTGAAGACAGCCAGATAGTCCCAAGTCTTGCGGGCCTGCCTTTGAGGAATGACTGGAAAGTACAGCTGTTTTGGGAATGCAGCTGCTGGAGTTTTGGATTGGGTTGGACTGCCTGGAGCATTTCTTGCCCATTTTAGAACAACTTGATCAGACTGTTTCCAGGCCCAATTTAAAATGCTGCTTTAAGCCCTAAATGGTCACGCCCAGGATTTTCCACAGAAGTGGGTATAGAGCTAGTATAGTATAGTGCCTAAGAGAATGAACCACGATATGCAAGGACACAAGTTCAAATCTTGCCTCTGCCACAAACTCACTAGGTGGTTTTAGACCAGCTGTTTTTTCTCAGCCCCCCAATCTACATTACAAGTAGTAATACCGGCACTTTTCTCTGATTAGATTCTGCCAAGTGCGCAAAGCCATTTTGTTTCAGCAGGCATTTGCTGTCTGATTCAGAGCTGTCTTGGCATCTGGAGGGTGTTAGTTTTTGCTGCTGGGATCTTTTGGGCCTGCAAAATGGTACAGTTTTGAACTGGACTGAAGTTCTATGAATTGGTTTCATTGTTGTTGTTGTTGTTGTTTAATTTATTTTTACAGTAGGGCTTTATGGATTGTCAGAAGCCGCTTCAAGCAGTTAGATGCCACAACATAAAACGGGAGTCCAGTAGCACTTTAAAGACAAAACATAGTCCAGCAAAAGCTTTCGTGGAATAAATTTTGTTAGGTGCCACCGGACTCCTGTTGTAATTTGCTACCAACTAAAATGACTGTCCATCTGCAGTTAGAATTGGGACAGTGTTTTCCTTAATTAATTTAATTAATAATGCTGTTCTGAAGCATAGGGATAGATAGGGCCATCTGCTGTTGGCTAGAAAGGGGACCATGTGAGAAGGGCCCGGGCAGTCTAGCAGGAGGACTTGTCTGCTGTTGATTGGGTGTGTGAAGGGCTGGTGTGTATACACTGACGCCAATTAGTAACTCGTATGCTATTCTCGAATACGCAGGAAAGTAGTCTGAGCAGAGAGTGTATGTGTGAGTGTTGTGTGCAAGTGTGATGTGAATGGACGTGTGAGAGAGCAAGATTAGGGAGAGTGAGAAAGGACTGGATTGGCTGGGCCCCCATATTCTCTTACACTGTTTCCTGTTTCACATGTTTTTGTCCCTTTCTGAGAAGTATACAAAAATTTGCTTAGAGGTGGATGACCTTTAAGTGAGTATATTCGCTTTGCAGGGGGGGAAAGCCAACCAACAGAATTTTCTTTGCTTTTGCTGTTGGGCCCCCTTGTGGTTCCTTTGATGCCCTGAGTTGAAACAGTAAATGCACTTTATGGATATGCGGGGAGAACAGTCAGATCCCAGATGACAGCGCTTTGTAAGAACATAACCTGCTTCCACCGTCATAAAAATGGTGACTCAGTTTCCCAGAAGATTTTTTGAGTTCAGAGATCTTGTGCGTACGACGTTTATTTCTGTATCTAAAGTTCCTCGCGGACAGAACAATAGATAAAATAATGGAGGACTTGGAATGAAGAGGGATTCCCTTTGGGGTCCCTCCGTCTCATATTTCCCCATTCTATTTTTGACTGTGAATTTTGCTCAACTGGTTATAGATTTGAAAACTGCATCTGGCCTATAAAGCAGCTGTTGTTTGATCCTGTGATGCAGGGAAAGCTCGCGCTTGTATTCTCAGGGGCTGTACTTCAGGCAGCGGTCTAGGACACAGAGATATATTTTACCACAAAATGGTTGGGCTGTAGCCCAGTGGGGATGCCTTGGAGCTGCAAGAACTTCACAGATGTGGCGTGGTGCTCAGGCACAAGAAGACATTAACGAGCTAAATCCAAAGAGAACTGGGATGCTGAAGGATGGACCCTCCGTTATAAAAATAGGCATCTTTTTGATTGGTTGGAATTAGTGCCTGATGTGTGTTTGAGGAACCTGATTTATTTAGAATACATCTGTGCAACTTGTGACTCATCAGACCAAATTAAGCGAGAAACAGGGTTGCCAACTCCGAGTTGGGGAATTCCTGGAGATAGGGGGGTGGAACTTGGGGAGGGACCTCAGCAAGGTACCGTGCCGTAGAGTCCGCCCTCCAAAGCAGCCATTTTCTCTAGTGGTCCTGATCTCTGTAGTCTGGGAGATCTGCACCCCTCCCCCCCACAGATTGGCACTCCTAGAGACAGGACACCCATTTGCAAGCAAAGTGTGCAGAATCAGGGAGCTGAGATTGGCTGCAGCTCCCTTTGGTGTGGCACAACTCTGTTTGCTTGCAGAGATTAAAGGGAAAATACACTTTTTGTTTCTGTTTTGAGGAACACTTTAAAAACACGTATGTAATATTTCCCCTTTTTGAACAAGTGAAATACTTTTTTGAAAGTCTCTTCATTAAATGGAGGTGGGAAGAACACTCATGTAAGCCGCTTCGGGTCCCCATGAGGGAAAAAAAGCAGCGTATAAATATCCCAGTAAATAAATGTTGAAAACAAGATAGGTTGTCCTTGCTCAACGTTCTAAGAATGATGTAGCTTGAAGACCTCTATGTAAAAGAGTCTACAGCATTAGACAACGATAACGCCTGTGCAGACATTTTTTTAGGGATATGTTTACTGTTTAAATGTGACCAATTTTGTCCACACTTAACATGGCGTACTGTCTGCCTGATGATGATGATACACCATTGAACAGATCAGTGTGTTCAGTGTTAACTTTGTATCCAAAGCAGCTGCTATTCCTTAGTGGTGAGTCTATTTGGCTTGAAGCCAGCTTCTGGGTTCAGGTAAGAAACCTGCTTCTGGCTACTAGAAACATCATGATTTCTAGTGTTCAGCATTTAATTTTTGTTTCTGCTTCTGAGATAGCAAAAACTAAGCTATATGGGCTTGAGGAGCAAAGGGTAGAATCATTTGCAGCTCTCTCTATCTAGCATTGGTTATATTTCAGAATGTCAAATAGTATAATTTTACAAGTAGGAATTTGCAAAAACTTGCAGGGAGGATCTCATTTCCCCTGCCTTCACTGACTCTTCTTTCCAGCTCCTGGAAGACCACATAGCCTCTTTTTCTTCTTCCGTCTCTGCTTCCCACCCAACAGCCAACTCCCCCTCCCCCATGACAGCCTCTACCTAGTAGGGCTGCCAGGTCCCCTGGGGGGCGGGGTTTTGCCCACTCAAAGGGCCCCCAACCAGTGTTCCCTCTTAGCTGAGTTAGTGTGAGCTAGCTCACAGTTTTTTAGCCTCCGGCTCACACATTTTTGTCTTAGCTCAGGAACGAGGGCTCCAGAGCAAACTAATTTATGCAGCAGCCAAACTACTCACTCACAACTTGAATGCCAGCAGCTCATAAAGTAGAATTTTTGCTCACAAGACCCCAAAGCTTAGAGGGACCATTGCCCCCAACCCACCGGCCGAGATCCAGCTGGTGGGGGGAACCCCCGCCCCCAAAGTGCCCAAATCTGGCCAACATGCTTAGCGCAATGATGTCACCCAGAGGTGACATCATCGCGCTGGGCACGTCGCTGGGGGACGCTCTAGCAGTCAGCCTGAAAACTTTATGGTATCATAGAGTTTTCAAGCTGAATACTAGAGCGTCCACCAGCGGCATGTCACTTCTGGGTGACGTCATCGTGGCGCATGCGAATGTCCCAGACTGGGACCAACTCCCCCCCACCGAAAAGGTTAAGGGACCTGGCAACCCTACTGCCTAGGAAAACTATGGCATAGTTGTAGGGTGACGGCTGCTGGGTTATTATTTACCATTTCTCTCCTCGGCCATTCACCAACCTATCTTTTATCTGCTTCCCACCTTCAGCTATATTTATTACTTTTTAACTTCATTTATACCACATCTTTCTCCACAGTGGGGACCAAAACAGCTTACATCTTTCTTCTCTCCTCCTTTTTATCCTTACAACAACCCTGTGAGGTAGGTTAGGCTGAAAGTATGAGACTGGCCCAACATCACCTAGTGAACTTCCATGGCAGACTGGTGGTTTGAGCCTGGGTCTCCCAAACCCTCTGAGGGTCTAACGGCTACACCACACTGGCTTTCATAGGGTGGCTGCTGTTGAACAGTAGCAAGCAGCCAGTGTCAAGTCACCTGGTAGTTGTTGCCAGGCCTAGCTCCCTCAAAGGCCAAAACAACCCTGGAAACGGCCCAGCTCCCTCCCCCTTCCTTTTACTGACAGAAACCAAGCCTTGAATGCTGTGGTTGCCTAGCAATGGCCACTGAGGGCTTCCGTTTCTTAAAGCTACAGATGCTCCTTTTATCATTTTGGGTTCGTTTTATCCCATCAGTTTAAAAAAAAAGAAAAGATTTCAGATTTTTTAATAAAACCTGGGGCGCTTTTCAGGTTTGTAGAAACACGTGTCTTTTCCGTTCGTGGCTCCAAGCACCACATTTGAATATCTTCAGATCTGGCTGACTTGGCTATTAGAATATACAAGTGGGGGCCTGCGATACTCTAGGGGAATCCCTTCCCCGTCTAACCTTTATTCCCCCCCCCCATTGGTAGTGCAGGGCCTGATGTGGCTCCCAACCTTTACCCCCAGGTCCACTGAGGCTTCCTCCCCACCCCTGATGGCTGCCAATGAATCTGGTGCAGGGCCCAGCCTCTGGTGCCGGACCTGCTGAGGCATCCTCTCTGCTGTGACAGCTGCCACCAAGTCTGGTGTGGATTCTGGCCTCTATCAGGCCTGCCGAGGCTTCCTCTCCACCCCCCCATGGCTGTCTCCACCCCCAGATTCCCCCATGGCTTCAAAATATCCCCAAATGTTTCCTCTTTAGCTTTGCCTCTGCATCCTGGCTGAAATGGCCAGAAGGGGAGAAAAAGCAACATCTTTCAACACTGATGGGCCTGGCTGGCTAGGAAAAGGCAGCCCAGATTGGCCTTTGCACAGCATAAGCGAGCCAGGGCTGTCTTTCCCCAGCTGTAAACTGCAGCAGAGAAGGACTGGGGAGAGAAAATACATCCTTCGTCCTCTATGTAACTGTGTGAGTCTCTGTTCCTTGCATTGGCTCACGCATAGATAGGATACGCAGCTACAAGCATGCACGGCTTCAAGAGGGAATTGGATAAACATATGGAGCAGAGGTCCATCAGTGGCTATTAGCCACAAGGAATAGATAGGAACTCTCAGTCTGGGGCAAGTGATGCTCTGTATTCTTGGTGCTTGGGGGGGGGGGCAACAGTGGGAGGGCTTCTAGCGTCCTGGCCCCACTGGTGGACCTCCTGATGGCACCTGGTATTTTTGGCCACTGTGTGGCAGAGTGTTGGACTGGATGGGCCACTGGCCTGATCCAGCATTGGCTTCTCTTATGTTCTTATGTGCCTGGCTCATTCTGCCTTAGCTCTCCATTGAGAATGAGTGAATGATCCAGCCGAACCTAGTGGAGCGAGGGAGCAGGCTTGGCTTTGTTCTGTGTAATGGAATGAAATTTGCCAGAGCAGTGAATCATTCAGAGATGCAGCAGGCAACCTCATTTCTGGTCCATTACTTTGGAACCTTTTGCTTAATTATCTCGTTGCTTGCTTGCCTCGCTCTTGCTGCACGCAGCAAGGGAATGACTGGTCTGAGCAAAGGAGCAAGCAACTGTTACTCCTTAAGGGTCAGCAGGGACCTCAGCTGGTGTTTATCTCTGCTTTGGATACATCAGATGATCTCCCATCCCTGACTCCCAGCCTGCCACAAAAGAGCCTTTCTTTAACACCACCCCAGCATTTTTGTCCAAGGGGGAAGAGAAGCTGCTGCCGCTGCTTATGCTGCGGAGTGCAGAAATTTGCAGACAAAGCCTCCAGTCTCTGCAAACCCCACCCACCTCTTGACTGCGCAGAGCGCTAAATTTATAATCAATCTCATTTATTGCTCAGTGCAGTGCTAGCGAGGCAGCAGCTGGTTAATTAATACGAGGGCTACCATTGTGTCTGGGTGGATGCGAAGGAGTGCCTTTGCAAAACACCAGGACTTCCTTCCCCAGTGTAAAAGAGGACCAGTAAAACTGTCCTCGGAACTCTTAACTCCCTGTACTTCTAGGAACTGGGCCCAAGGCGAGAAAAGCGGAGGGCAGAATCCTCTCCCCTCACTTGTCCTTGCCTTCCACTCCAAAACATAGATCAGCCTCTCTTGACAGAATGATTTCCAGAAGACAAATACAGGGCAAAACAGGATCTCGGCTTCAAATTCTCGTGCCTTTTACAGGAAAGGACTCTAAATAGGAACCTGGCAGGAATCTCACATTCTGCCTGCAGACCTGCACCATCTTAATGGCTTTTCACATTTTTGGTTCTGTGGAAATCATTCCAAATACTCTCATGGAAGACAAACATCGTGTTGGAAATTGCCCCAAGAGGGCTGTGTTGCCAGCCAGTAGCAAAATGATTTCAGGCTGGTGTGGAGATTGGCATGTTGGCAGAGAGGCTTAGAATGCTTCCATATGGTGCATGATTGGAACTCAGAGCTACAGTGGTCAGTCTTGGAGAGCTGCTACCAGTCAGAGCAGAGAGTTTGGGCCTAAAGGAACCAGTGTTGTAAGCAGTGCTTAAGAAGAGCTGAGTTCTGTGCAAACTGAGCAGATTTACATAATTTCTAACAAAGCTGCTATTGTATGTAATTTATCCTGGCTTGCTAGCTGTGGGCAGGGCCCCATACACAGCCACTGGAACACTTTCTCAGCCACTCCTCTGGCATTTGAACTTTAATCAGGCATTGTCAACACATGTTCCAGAATGTCTTTGCAGCACTGTGGGCTAGAAACTTAGGGGTTTTTTTTAAACTAACAACTGCATTTCTCAGAAAGTATAATCCTCTGCTCAGCTCCCACCTGCTGCACTTTTCCCTGCGGAATCTCAGCATACAGGCCGTCTTGACTATAAATAGGCAGCTTCATGGACCAGGCTTATGGAAATTTCTCTACAGTGAATCAGCGACGGGTTAAATTGTCATAACCCCACATGCTTGTCCTGAGTTATATGCTTTAGCCCGTCTTTCCCCCCCAAACTGCGAGGCACCCACTCCGATTCTTAGCCCCTCCCTTCCTCCACTTGGCAACATGAGAATAATAATCCTGGCCTACCTTACAGGATGGTTGTGTTAAAACACATGTGTTTTTAACATCCGAGGAAGTGCAATATAAATGCTAAGTATTACCATTATTTTTAGGGGCCAGTGGTGGCGGCGGCAGCGACAGCAATTATAATGACGGTAAGCTAGAAATACCTTTCCTACTTGACTTCAGACAACGCCTTTCCCTTGTCAGTAGCCAGGATGCATTGTGAGTGCCTAGCTAGGCTTGATTTCCTCTTGTGCTGGTTCTCCAGGGCCCTGGGCAACTGTGTACATCATGACCCCATGAGCAACCGTGTCCTCCTTACTAGGAGGCCTGTGGACCTTGAAGCATCTTCATCCTAGTTTTGCAAGAAATCTCCTCCACCCTATTTTCTGTATACTGTAAGGATGACGTGAAGCCATAGCTTAGATAACTCTAAGGCAGATGGGATACAGTCGTAGCAAAATGTCAGTCACTGTAAATAGGAATAGAGAAAGAAAGTCAGCAAGACCCTGTGTTAAAAATGTAATCTTCCATGATGGAGTTCAGCATCAACATGTTTTTTCCTCACTTTTCCAGGTGCCCTAGTAGAGACAGGGACGATTGCTGGCATAGTCAGCGGCCTGGCTATGGCTCTAATCGGTGCTGTGAGCAGCTACATCTCATACCAGCAAAAGAAGTTCTGTTTCAGCATACAACGTAAGTGTCTGGGATGCCTCCTACTCCCAGGGATCATGCATAGGCTTGACTGCTAGCAGGTGCCAATCCTCAGGTGGGTACCAGTGATGTGCCTCCTGAGGAACAGCCCTTCTGTCCACCCTTGTGGCCTTGCTCACGGGCGGGCATACACGGTTCTCCCTCACTGTGTCCTCACAACCCTGTGAGGGAGGTTAGGCTGAAAGAATGTCACTGACCCAAGGTCATGGCATCTGATGGAGGAACGTCATCCTAGGCGTGGGACGTGAATCGACTGCGTTCTCTGGGCCAGTGGTTCCCCCATCAGCCTCATGTGCCAGAACTTGTATAGTGAGAAAGGGAGCACCAGAGGGCAAGGACGATGCTGTGTTTTAATCTAGTTCCAATTTATTTCAACTGTCAGGACTGTGCAGAAGGGAAGGGGTAGCACTGGAAAAACAGTAGGCGATGGGGTGAGAGGTATGGTCCTCCGGCACACAGTTTGTCTGTGGTTGGGACTGGGATGAACAGAGACAAGTAACAGCTGGAATACAGAAGGGCTTGGCATCTCACATTCTCTCTTGCAAGAGGAAGTAGGGGTGCTGCAATGTTAAGTAGCAGCATCTGCTTTCCAAAGGGCTGGAAAGGACCATTCCAGCCATGAGTTCCTGTAATTACTGTCGGAACTGGTAATGACTGCCGGCACATGGAAGCTTCTTTACCTGTGTTTCCTTATTAACACAAGGGACAGGGGTCATTTTCACAAGGACTGCTTAAATCACGACTGGGTTTTTTTTTTTGCATTGTAATGTCTGCTCAATTCAAAATTGTGTCTCTTCTGCTTTCCATCCCACCAGTGGTACATCGCAGGCTAAGAAGTCCTAACAGTTACTTGGGAAAAATGGCTTTCGATTTGGCCCGCAGAACAACTTGTGAATGTGGCCCGTGAGCCATCTATAAGGGCCCAGAAGCGGCTCAGGAAATCCCACCTTTCTGTCCGCTGCAAAAGCAGGGGAGGGGACTCATGAAGGCTCTGGGATACACTCAGCTCTCTGGAGTATGGGTGGTGTGACGTCTCCGTGGCTTTATATTAATAGTGAGAATCGCTCATCTGAAAAACAAATCCGAATCCTTTGGGCACCTCCCCTCACTGCCCCCAAGGAAAGACACTCTGCTCTTCCTGTTCTTCTGCGACCAAATTGCTATTTTCACAAGAGAGTCTAAACCAAACAGGTGTGAATGTGAGTAAATCAGACCAGCAGGAGAAAGAAAAAAATCAAGCGGAATGTAATAAATTAAAACACCGCCACCCCCTCCGTGTTGTTTTCCTGCCCCAGAAGTGATATTTTAGTGAGAATAAACATTTCCTTCCCCCCCCCTAAAAAAAAGAATCTAGAAAAAAGCTTTGATAAATTCAACACCAAGAGAAGCAGAACCCTAGAAAGACGGCGGGAAATTAAAGTTAATTATAAAGGAGGATTAATTTAAGCCATCAGACATGGCATGCTGGGATAATGTCAAGCCTTAGATGTATTGCAATGCACGGCGGAGGCTGGCGAGGCGTCAGCCGCTGCTGAAGTGACTTTTTATTGAAGCACATAAAACTGCATTTGGCGTTATCCTGGCAAAACACATGGCCGCGCGGAGGAGGCTCTGCTGTGCATGAGCCACAGGGCTGGAGCTCAGAGCGAGCGAGCGAGAAGCACTCCACTGTGGCTTGTGCCTGACTGGTGAGGTACCTTGCGCTGCCTTTTTGCGGCCCTAAGAGCTCACACGAGTGGTGATGGAACGCACGATTAGGCAATGTGGAACGAGGTGATCCGCCCGATGCCGTAGCCTCGGGGTGGTTCTTTCAAGAGGATGGCACAGGCAGGGCCGGCCCGAGGAGATGGAGTGGCGCTCTATTGAGAAGCAATTAATGGGCACCGATTCCGCCTCCGAACTGACTATGTCCTGGCATCCTCAGTGACATTGCAGGGGATGTTGGCGCTTACTTACAGTTTGCACAAGGACAGCCTCAGACAGACCAGCATAAGATGATTACTTCTAGTGCTTCACTTGTGTCTAATCACACTACTAGCCGAGGAAAGAGAGAGAGAGGGAGAGAGAGAGATTCTATCTGGAATGGGCATATCAGGTTGGCTTGAAGCTTGTTGCTTCTTCATGAGTGGGCAGGGGGTGGGGCCCTGGGCCAAAGCCAAGGATGGGGGGGGGAATCATCAGCAGGCAGTCACTATGCTGCCCCCTCCATGGCTGCTCCCTGCAGCTTTTCCGGAGTTGAGGGACAGAGGCTCCGACTGCCTGTTCCTTGCTTATGCCAGGCATGCTGGTTCTTGAGTCAGGCAGCAGCGGCCTAGGTGGCAATCGCCGCAGAAGTCCCCCCCCCCGCCAGCCTCCCTTTCCCCAAACGCTGGTGGTGTGGCAGTGGGCTTATGCCCTAAGCCTTCGCTTGTGGGGCAGCGGCTCCCAGGCCAGCCTGGAGCAGCCGAGCTTCCCCTCCTGCCTGAGCCCGCCTCCTTGTTGCTGCTCTGTTGCCCTCCAGGAGAACTTGATCCGAGGACAAGCCCGGAAAGGGCAAGGGAGGCACGGGCAGAGGCTGCCCCAGACTCTCCTTCCCCCTCACCTGCACAGCCCTTGAAGAGCTGCTGGGGTGGTGCAGCAGAGACGACAGAGCCTGCGGGGAGCAGTGGCAGGGGAGCTGGTGGTCAGGGGGGCAGCGCAGGTTGCCTCACACCTAAGACTGCCCCTGCCAGTTCGTTTCCCCCAAAGCAAACTGCCATTCCTGGCTTTCCTCTAGCCTATTTGGGCAGGAGATGCTTCAGGAGAACCCCGGAGGCACCCCTGCTGTGTCTGCAGGGAGCACGCATTGGGAACCAGGCTGCTTCCATCGTAGGCTGCTTGGCTTGCAACCTCTCGCAATTTTGTGATTAGCCCCAGTACCCCATGGCAGCCATTTTTTGGTGGCCACTCCCTATCCTCCAACCCCCCAAAGTGCCCACAGGCTGAATAAGATTGAGGACCTGCTAAGAGAGCGTTCAGAGTACAAAATGGATGAAACAAAAAACTAGCAACTAAGAAATCTGTGAGGGTTTTTTTCCGTTCATTCTGAAATGTAGATTGCAGCCAGATACCAAAATAAGAGCAGCTGTTCTGTTGTGGACCACAGGCCCATCTTGTCCAATGCCGTGTTTCTCACTAATAACTCACTGTGATTCCTGCCGCTAACATTGAAAACACATCTGGAATCCCTTGTCAAAGGAGGTGTTTTTCTTTCTTTTTTCCTCTTCCAGACAATTTCTAAATTGCACAATTGTGAAGCAGATTTCCATGTTTTGGGCCTAAATCCATGTAGATATGATGCTGAAAGTCTGATAGTTATGGAGTGAAATTCCCAGGTGGGCTCCCAATGAAATTTAACAAGACTCAATAGGAGTCAAAATGATGGGCCGCCTACATAATGTACGTTTTCAAACATTTGCACGAATGCTCAGCTGGACTGAAAAATTCTCAGTCCATTATGTAATCTAGAAGTTAAAACTTTAGGGTAAGTTCAAAAGTCCAGACTGTAATAAAAAGCCCTTTTAATACTGCTTTAGAACTTTTTCAGAAATATAAGTTTCATGGTACATAACCTGATAAATAAGCACAAGCCATCCAAATGCAAAATGTATCCCTTTCCTTTCATTGGAAGTATCTTTTGGGGCTTCGAAGTTCTATGAAATGTCCTGGATTTAACAGATTAGTCCTAAACAGTGTTACACCCTTTAAAATCCACTGACCTCAACAGGCCTGGTAGAGTGTAACTCTGTTTAGGATTGCCGTTTAGGTACTAATTCCTTTTCCTATCCAGTCAGTTTGAGAGCAATCACATGCATTTCCCTGGGGATGTAAGAAAGGGCCAGAAGAACTAAGCACTGATGCAACCCTTCTTGCCCTCCCTCTCATGATCTGCCTAAGTTCACAGAATCAGCATTGCTGTCAGATGGCCATCTAGCCTCTAGCAGCTAGTCTATAATAATAGACATCATAATATGAGTGCCATACCCAATCAACCTGAGGCTGCAGTTCTGTGCACACTTGCTTGAAGTAAACCTCACTGACTGCACACCCAGGTTAACGTACCTAGGCTTAGATTATAAGTGACCATATCAGTAGACAGATAAAATTGTAGTGTTCCATGTAATACCCTTGGAACAGAAATGAGCTGCACACTATCCACACTGGGTAGCATTAAATTCTATTCCATGAAACCAGAAAAGACTATACTTTAAACCCCCTCAGAAAAAAGCTAGAACTTTTGTTTGCACCTCTTTAAATCTGTATTAGGTACCCAGCCCATCATTTTGGCTCTAGTGGACTTGTGTTTGGAGCTTACCTGGGGAGCCGAGCCTAGAACTATCAGACTTTCAAACATCTAAATGGATTTGAGCTAAATGCCAAAGGGCTACTTGACTATTCTGCACTTTAGAAATCTGTTTAAAAAGGATCTTGAGCACTGGAGAAAAGTAGTATAGAGATATATGAAATAAATAGTATCAGGATAATTGTGTGTTGCATATTACAAGTTTCTGCTTTTTTCCACTTATTGGTCTTGCTCAGGTGGTTTACCTATGAGCGCTATGCATGTTTTTGTTTTTTAGAACAGTGGCAGTGTTTTGCGATTGATTTTTACCTTTCTTGCCTATTGATAGTTCCTCTGAAGAAAAGATTTGTGGGAACAGATTTGACAGCTTGTTTGCAATTTTCTCATCTCCTGTTGTTTTTGGCCCAGTATCCTCCAGTAATTGTCTGAAAACAGGTATAGCGTCTCTTTCCATGTAGGGTCTATTGGTTAGATTCAGGTGGGTAGCCGTGTTTGAGTCTAAGGGCCCCTTTAAGTTTGAGTCTAGACGCACCTTTAAGATCAACAAAGTTAATTCTGTGTGGTGTACTTGATGGAGTGCTAGGTTTTGAGTGGGAGAACCCAGGTTCAAATCCTTGTTCGCTCATGAAAATCACTGGGTGAATGTAGACTCAGCATAAATTTCACAGGAGGAAAGTGGGTGAGCTACCTACCCTACAAGAAGCCACAGAGTTGCTTTTTCAGTGCCAGTCGGTTGCACTTAAGTGTTGCTGCCGGAAGCTGCCATGTCTGGAATGGCATCTAAGGGCTTCTCAATGTTTCACCCATATTATAGCACGTCACCATCAGTAGATACATATACTATAAGGACCGCTCTTGTGTTACCGTGGCAAACAACGCTTTCTTTCCAGAAAAGGCAGCAAGCAAATAGTCTAGATGTGTGATAATCTGGCCCTGTTTTATTCAGTTAGGTCATTCCATGGTTGCTGTTAGCAATGAACACAGTTTGTTCTGGTCATTTCAGTTTAAGAGTCATTGCAATGTAAAATCAAGAAATCTACAGGTCTGCCTTCAGGACTGTTTCTACAGGATGCGTCGTGGTTCAGGCTTGGCTGGTGTTACACGGGGCCTTTGGATACTAGGTCCCAAACACCTTTGAAAGTGTTGATCTTTTGGGGATCACTGCTTTCCATTCTTTGCCATTTTCAGAGGGTCTGAATGCAGAGTACGTGAAAGGAGAAAACATGGAAGCGGTGGTGACTGAAGAGCCGCAAGGTGAGATACCTTTTTAGTCTTTTGTTTCTAAACGGGTAAACTCTTCCACCCTGGAGAAGTCCCCCGTAAAACAAGTTGGTAGCAAAGTGAAGGCTGGTTCACACACGGCTCCAGCCTGTAGGCTATACCTCTGGCATTCAGAATACTCAAGTTGTATTATACTTGTCAAGACAACATCCCAAATTCCCAACCATACGTCAAGCCTAAATGTGGGTGCTGTCCCTATCCTAAAAATATTCAAGGGGGAAAGTGGGAGAAATCCAAACTGTTCAGGACAAAAGCATGCAGCTGTAGATCTCTGGGAATGCACAGGGGACCTGGCCCAGCTGGGAGATGCTGCCTGTATGAATTGACACCTCCATCCCAGTCCCTGGGATTTGTGTCAACACAAGTGTTGCCACAACTGTCCCTCACAGCTCACACGGTTGGCACCTCCACATGACTCCATATAGGTTATGACCCCCAGGTGGGTCCCTGGAGGCCACTGAACGAGGGAACACTGGCTGTATGAACAGGTGTTCAGGTGTGAGCTGTAAAGGGAGGTATCTTTCCTTGGTGTCATACTTTAGGATACTGAGACAAGCAGAAATGGGATCTTACCGTCTTGGGCAACGTTTGCATTTTTAATACACTGTTGTGGACTCATGACTTACCTTCTCCTTTTTACCTAGTTAAATATTCTGTCCTAGAGCCACAGTCAGCAGAACCACCTCCGCCGCAAGAGAACGCAAAGGTCTAAACGGTCAGGCTCGGACGGGAAAGAATTGGTCAACAGCAACCACATACACGCTTCAAACATGCTTGTAATTTAGCTTTTTACAAACATTTAATTTGGATCCAAAGCTATTTAATGTGTGTTCTGACTAGAACAGGCTTCTTATTGTGGTAGACTGTAGGCAGGTTGAAATATTTGTTTCTTTTTTTTCCACCGTTTGTTTTTTGTGAAGAGTTGTAGGTTTACATTGACTTGGTCATGTAGGAGTTTTGTCAGGTTGAATTCAAACCACAAAGGTGCTTCAAAGTGATGTTTCATATTAGATGTAGGGATTTTCATTAATGAGGGAGAAAAAGCAGCTGGGGATAGTGACTACAGATGTGAGAACAATGAAGTGCCTGTAAATTAACAATCCAAAGCAAACCATGTAAAAAAAAAAACACCTTTGTAGAAATGTCTTTCAGCTACATTGGCTGGCGGCTATGAGCACGTGGCTTCCACTGACTCTAGCGGAAGTACATGGGCATTGGAGGGTGGAGCTTAGCCTTCTGGGTAGTTACACCTCAAGATATATAAGTGCCTGTGGGGTTGGTCTTCATTTGAAAACTCAGCCTGTTGGCAGAAGACAGCAAGTAAACAGCACCCCCATCCAATTGGGGTTCGGTGTCGCTGTTAGGGACGGGCACAACCTGCATTTTTGCAGTTTGGTTCACAAACTGACCCGATTCGTATGCCGTTTAAACTATAAACCCCTGCTTTCTGCTCCTTGCAGCTTTATACAGGGAACAGAAAGCAGGGGTTTAAATGGCTCCCAGCCATTCAAACCAAACAGCTGAGTGGCAGGAGCTTCCCACAACTCAGGATTCTTGTGAAGAGCAGGAAAGTATGGGTTTAAACCCCTGCTTTCTGCCCTTCACGAACTGCCACAGACTGAATCAAAATTCATGGAAGGTCATGGCAGTTCTTCAGTTCATGAATGGCAAACCAGCCAAAAATTCATGATGAATTTTAGTTCGTCAGCTGGTTTGTGCCCATCTCTAATTGCTGTATCAATAACCCTGATCCTTTTGCTACCAGAACCCTGTGCAAGTAGTTGTTATACATGCAGTGTTTCATGTTAACAATCAAAGGATGATTCAGAGGTTAAACTCCAGCTTGCACGTAACCTTAGGGCAAAGAAATCGTTTCCTGTTTTGCACACTTTCCAAAGTACAAATCTTATAGGCATGGGTGCCAGATTGTGTTTTCGCTTTCTCCAACTTCAAGGCTTGTTAAAGTGCTTGAATTGCAGTGAGTGCAAGAACTGTTGCAACCAGGTTCCAGCTGCAGCAGTTTTGCATGGTCTGCAGGCATGCATTCACAGGATCCATTGCAGTGTGGCAGAGGACGTTGGGTACCACCGTTAGCTTGCATGCTCTTCCTCACTTCACCACTATATTTGATTAAATACAACGTGGACTTCAGAATCTAAATACCTGTTTCTGGCTGAGGACATTTTAGGCTAGGGGAATTAAACCACAAAATATAATGCTCTATTGTGTATTCTAGATTAAAAGTTCAGTAGTTTCTGTTTCAATAAGATAAAAAGGATTTCAAAGCACATGCACAATATTTTTCATAGAATTCCTGGTCCATAGTTTACTGCATATCCCATGGATGTCCACTTCTAGGCCTAGTCCAGTCTAACAGTGATAAAATAGTGCAATAAAATAGTTCTTGGACTATGTACTCCCATCAGCCTGCAGAATGTATTGCTAGGTATGTGCCACCTTGCTAAATGTTTAACTCTCCCCTGCTATGAAAAACTCCTTGCACATAGGGATCAATCTAATAAATTTTCTCTATCTCGTCTTCCAAGGAGTTTGGGCACTGGACAGGATTCTCCCTTCCCCATTTTATCTTCACAACAACCCAGTGAGGTATGTTAGTGACACAAGCTTTGTGGCAGTATGGCAATCTTATCCCAGGTCCCTGTGAGTCTAGTACAGCACTGACCACTGCACCTCACTGGCTAGACACTAGGGAGGCAGGGCAGAGGGAAGAATCGAGAAGTAAAATAGTCCACGGCCAGTTTTATCACGACAGTCTGTTTGTCTATATGTGGCCTCAGTAATGAACTCAGCCAATGAGCCATTTGAGTCTCTTTAAAAGATGCAGACGTCCACTCCTGGCTCTCTAGACACAAAACAGCACAGTGCAAGAGGGCATTGTGCCTAACCTGAGAATAATGATGTAGCTAAGACTTAGAAAGGACATGACTTAATTCTTGTTCAGTGAGACCCTTTGTGTGATTTCGTCCTTCAGCAGAACTTTGAGGAAGAGTAGCCAATCTCAGTCCTGGCAGAGGGGAAAGTGTGTCCCCCCTTCTCCATCGCCCTGAAGAAATCCTAGTGTTTCTGTTTTATTATTAGAAGCATCCCAGTACTGAGCCGCGTGAAGGCTAGCACTCTCTTTATTCCCAGGGCTGCTACCTGAACCTTCTCAGAGTGATACTGTGAGTGAACCCGGAGCCTTCTCACTGGAAAGCATGCATTCTACCACTGAACGGTGGAGTAACCGAGACAGGAATCTGGCCCAAGTCAAACATTTTTACCTGAAGTTCGTAGGAACCCCTCTTTTCCACTAATGTAGCAAGGTATGCATTTTTGTATCCTAGAATGATGAATGAATTGT